CGTCTGTCTCTGTCCTGTGCTGACGGCGGTCCGTTGCTCACTGGTGCTGCTAGCATTACTGCTAGTGCTAGCTGTCGTCAGCGGGTGTTTCATTTTTAGATGGTTGCGCATAGCAGAAGTATTTTTGTTGTACTTTAGTACAGATGTACACAACTGACACTTAACTGTGGAGTTGGTTACGTCTTCTTTGAAGTACTGCCATACATATGAATGTCGGACGTTTTTGGGAGCATTTTGCAGCACCTCGTTCACCTCCATTTTGTTCACGACTAGTCGACTAGGGCCTACAGCGCCGACTAGTGGTAAAGGTAGTCGACTAGTCGATTAGTTGGTGAAACCCCTAGTGTGTATGTGTGGCCCGAGCGAGAGAGAGACCTTACGTGCATTGTTGTTGTTAGCATCTGGTGCTAGCTAGCTGCGCTAACGGATATAAGGAGCTGTTTAAATGAAAACAGAGGAGCGACATTTCGCCACAACTGCGCCGAGCACTTGACTTTATGCAGGCAGCCAGACAGTGGGACATTGTACGAAAAGTCAGCACACTCAGCACGGATAGTGCGCAACATGATTGCAGCGTCCAGGCAGCTCCCGTTTGAGCATATGCCTTGACACACACACACACACGTATTGTATTATTGTATGAGAGAGGTTCCAGGTTGAATTGAGGCGAATATTTGTAATGTTCAGAGGTTGTTGTGTTTAATATTCATGAGAATATTTGTCATTGTTCAAATGATAATAAACATTAGCATAAAGCATATTTGTCCACTCATATGTTGATAAGAGTATTAAAAACTTGAAAAATATTCCTCTAAGGTACATTTAGAACAGATCAAAAATTTGCGATTAATTTGCGATTAACTATGGACAATCATGTGATTAAATATTTTAATCGACTGACAGCCCTGTACACTTTACGAATATAATAGTTTTTTTATTGACAACTTTACCATTCAATCTCGTCCAACTGATCTTGCAGCTGTCACTCCTCGGCTCTTGGTAGTTCAGGCATTTATCAAACCTGGCAACTCCGGGCTTCCTTGCAGATGTCAATCAAAGTCCAGTGGCTCCGCCACAAAGTGCCAGAAACTTTTCACACGCGTAGACAGACTCCGCGAAGCTGACACTCCCGCGAGCAAGCAAGAGGGTTGTCTCGTGGGGGTTTAGTCTGCGCGCGACGGTCATTTTATGCGCGTGTAAAAGCACATTTTCCGCTCGTGATTAGCTTGTTTTACGCGCTAGAATATTGACCCAAATCTGACTCCATAGGGGGCGACTTGCAGTCAACTTCTCACTTCAAAACATAGACTTTACTTGGGCGGGCCGCCCACGTATAGTCTATTAACGGCCGCCAAAATTATATTTTTGTATCCATCCGCGAGCACGACTAGGGGATCTAGGGCAGAGCCCTAGAGATACTAAGAGTTACGACACTCTTTGATGTCGCCGCCAGCCAGTCACGTGGTTTATGTATGCCGGGATAGTTCCAAACGCACTTCCGTGGCAATGCTTCTCTATGGCAAAAACAGCACGAACATGGTCAAAATAGTCATAGATTAAACCAATGTTGTTATTTTGATTGCTGTGTGGGTGATTGCTTTCATATTTACATGATGTGGTTACACTTTGTATGGATTGGCACTATTTCCAAGTTTCGTTATTTAACGATATTTTGAGGGGAAAGTGTGGTAGCACAAGCAGGCTATGTTGCTGTCACTGCCAGGGCAGTCACGTCCGTAGTATAGCTGCGCTGTCATGTTCTTCTATGGGACAGACAGACAGCAGCGATTGCGTTATTGAATGGTAAATATATATTTAAAAAAACACACGGACATACTTTTTATTGACAGTTTTGCATTTGGAGAGGCAGGGTGACAACGGAAAGCTTGGTAGCCTATTACTTAGATACGTTTTACATTTTTGGAGGGAAACGCTTGTGTTCATGTTAGCATGGGTAGCATGATCATGTTAAGACTGAATATCATTTTACAACAAATATTATGGCACTTTCGTTTATATTTTATTTTAATAGATCAGTTGTCATACCATGGTTGGATGTGCAGCATTTGGATGCTCTAATCCAGAGGTGCCCAGTACGTCGACCGCGGGGGCAATGCTGGTAGATCGCGAGTCATCCATAAAATAAAAAAAATCCAGCTCCGTTAAAATAAACAAAACAGGTTTTGATCCCTCCTCTCTTGGCCTCCCTGCCACTTAATTCAGGAGTTTACTTGATTGACAGAAAAAGCGACCTATCGCTTTCCAGTCTGTTAACCCAGAATGCAAAGCGATACAAAATCAGTCAAGTGCGGGGAAAACTCAAATTAAGTTAAAGAGACAAACAAGAGACAAACAACAAAATGAGTGCGGGACCGAGCAAAAAGCTAAAAACATACCACTTCCACCCAGAATGGGAGGAAGAATATTTCAGGGTTCGTACGGGTGCTTGAAATCCTTGAAAATGCTTGAAATTTGACTTGGTGTTTTCAAGGTTGGGAAAGTGCTTGCATTTTGGGACTGGTGCTTGAAATTGAGATAAAGTGCTTGAAAATGTAAATGCTTTACTTTTACAATAAATTGCTGTCTGACTGAATAGTTCGCTTTTTAGATTAAAGGTGGGCAGGGTTCGTACGGGTGCTTGAAATCCTTGAAAATGCTTGAAATTTGACGTGGTGTTTTCAAGGTTGGGAAAGTGCTTGAATTTTGGGAATGGTGCTTGAAATTGAGATAAAGTGCTTGAAAATGTAAATGCTTTACTTTTACAATAGATTGCTGTCTGACTGAATAGTTAGCTTTTTAGATTAAAAGAAAAGAATTGCTTCGCTTCTACATAAAACATCTCTGCTCCGGCCTTCCCGCGCTATGCGCGCGACCTGCAAGAGTTTGTGTTACGTGTGACCTGGGCATTCTGATGAGAGTGATAGATGACAGTATGCCAGGAGGTTGCAGTTTCAACGAGCGTTGGCTAGCAGAAGACAAATACAAGCCATGGCTAAGACGAGGGTCAAGCCCACGAGTAGCCTCCTGCAAAGTTTGCAAAAATAACGATGGGAGAGTCTGCGCTGACGAGCCACATGAAAGGTACGCCGTAGTAGAGCATTTTAGATTAGGCTAACGTTGCATGTTACGTTTGTTTAAGCTAACGTTAGCGAGCTGAATAGCAAACTCGATTGAGGGATAATAATAATAATTGCAGGGGACAATCATTTCAGAGGAGCGTTATATGTTATGTGCGTTACAGTCACCATCGTGGTGTTCAGAGGATGAAGCACTCACGGCATTTTGTGTTATAGTCACGAAATATAATCTATTGATTCGACACAGAGCGATTTTGAAAGCAATGTATTTCTACTGGTAGTAGGTTTCGTGCCTAAACCAAATGTGACTTGCTCTATCGAAATCAGTCACATTGACCCGAAGACACATTTTCGTTTGTATTACTGGTCTGGGGGAAGCTCGCGAGTGTGTTTGTGTATGTTTGCGTTTGTGTACCGGGGAAACACTCACAAGAAACACCGGCTGTTGTTATGCTTGCTGTGACGTTACATTACTCCGTTCTCCGCTTGTAATTATGCCGTTACAAGCTTCAAAGTTGTATTTATCATCTGAATTTGCCGAAACAAGTTTAATATTCTGAAAGCCAATACTTTGTTTATTTGAAAACAGATGAAAACAAACTGTCTTTTATATAAAATTGAAGTATTATACAAGTAAAACTACATTTTGCTTTAATCCCATGTAATTGTAGAATGAACACAGTCTTCCTTTGAAGATGTATAAGTCAGGTGTCTTGAGTAGTCAAAATTACCTACAAATCATTGTACACATTAGTAAATATTATTTTCCACTTGTTACCATTGTGAGTCTATTTTTATGCAGCTCTGTGTGATTGTGTGGCTACAATTCAGACTAATACACTACTAGAGGTGGAATAAGTACTCAGACCTTGTACTTGAGTAAAAGTACAAGTACTCAGATCTTGTAGTGAAATTATAAGTAGGCCTACTCAGATCTTGTACCAGAGTGTAGGAATACTCTGTTATACCTCATTCACACCAACGCAACTCTGGTTCAAGCTCCGTGCTAGAGCTTTTCAGGTTCAGAACCGGTTCTTCGGTTTAGCAGAGGCTCTTTTCACACCGCCCAGAGTCCGACTGGTGCTGCGTCATTGCGTCATCGTTTGCGTCATGACGTAACCGTTTGCGTGCCTGCTTCATAAAGCCCTCCGTAGGCTAGACCGTCTCAGTAGTGGGCCGCTCGGTCCAGTAAACCCAAAGCAGACGTAGTGACGTCAGCAGCTCATTTGCGTAATCTTCCCTCAGGGAATTTATTCCGGTGTGAACGCGATCTGTAAGTGCCCTGGGGTAATAAGTGCCGGCACTAAGTACGGCAAAGTACTTGGTGTGAACGCGGCTATTAGCCACCAAGTACCAATGATCCCTCGCTCTACGCCTCCTGTACCTGTTTGCTCTGCTATCGCGTGAATGGTCTGCTAACAAGCGACAAACGGAGGAGTCACATGTTGTTGCACATCAGTCATGCACAAATGCAGCGCACTTCTGCGCTGTAACCCCGCTGCGAGAGCTAGAGGAGCTAGAGCCTGATAAGCACCGGTGACGTCATGACGTCATGCAGCAGCACCAGTCGGTTGTGCAAAGCAGTTAGTAAAGCAGTAGAAACACTTTCGCAAGCGAAGGAGAAGAAGAAAAACTGAAGCCCTTAAAGTCAAAAGTGTATAATATCTACCTGTAAATAATAATAAAAACCCTTGATTTATAACTTAACATCTCCGTCTCCTATTGATCTGAGTATATTATAAAGAATAGCCAGTTAATTGAAGCATTATAGCACAGGCCTTTGTCAGATGGTTTATTACGCTGTTTTTTTTCTGCTTCGAATAGTTCTCTCTTTTTTCACCATACCTGTGTTTGCATCACTGTATATGACTATGCATGAGATGTATTAGTGGGAAATGACATGCCCAGCTCCCCTGTGTTTAGGTGCAGGGTGTGAGTGAGGTGGCGAGTGATGCAGGGATTGTGGAGAGCATCACACTGAAGAACTTCATGTGCCACTCTCACCTCGGCCCATTCACTTTTGGTTCAAATGTGAACTTTGTTGTTGGCAACAATGGAAGTAAGTGAAATACAAGTTAAATGCTCATTGTTGTGAATTGTTTATTAGTTGCCAAGAAGTGCTGACTATCTTGACTCATCTATAATTTAGTTGGAATACTTTAAGTTTGTTTATGTAGTTCACAATCATACCAGACATATGTTAGCAAGATTATGAATGATGAGCAAGTGAATTGAGTTGCATCATCTCCACACTAATCGATATTAAACGGTTTAATATAATCGTTTGTGGTGGATGTAGCTTGTCTTTCTGTACATTAATAATACAATATGTTTAACACCGTCTGCTCTCTTGTATTCATGAAAATCAGACTTATTTCTGTAAACCTATGATATGCATATAATGAATTATCTACTTTGCCCTAAATCTTTGTAATGGCTTGAACCTAAATCATGTATTTCAACTCAAGCAACACACTCTGTTCTCTTGTGTCTTATTTTCCATTATGTTCTTGCTTTTGAAAGTGTCTAAAACATGTTTTGCTGCTTGTGTGACAGGTGGAAAGAGTGCCGTTCTGACAGCTCTCATAGTTACCCTAGGCGGTAATGCACATGCCACCAACAGAGGATTGTCCCTCAAAGGATTTGTAAAGGAAGGAGAAAGGTATAAATCATTTACTCTTCTCGCCCGCATCCCCCAACGTCCAGAAATTCTAGTATAAACAAATATTCCATGAATTTGCTCTATAGCACCACACATATCATACCACATCAAATGTCTTTTGTCTATTACTCATGTCATACATATGACATTTTTCATAACGTCGCATGCAAAAGTACCCTTAATTAAAAGTTGCATCACTTGATTCACGTAGGTGTAATGTCCGTTACTCTCTTTCCTCAGTTCGGCTGATGTTTCGATCACCCTGCGAAACAAAGGAAGGGACGCCTTCAAATCTGAGGTGTACGGCCCAGCTATCACTGTAGACCTGAGAATAACACGCGAGGGGTTGAGAACCTATAAACTGAGGAGCAAATCTGGTAAAGATGACGCATTCTAAAAATTAGTATTTTTTTTTTGAAGATACTGCTGCTACTGTACATTGATCTGCTACAACAACATGTATAGGAACAAGGTGCAAAAACAAAGGAAAATGAAACGTGTTTCAATATTACCAAGTAAAATACTACCGTAAGCAGCTTCAGTCTATATTATAAGGTATTCATAAAGATTATTTTTCCTCTTACAGGTCAAATTGTCTCAACCAAAAAGGAAGAGTTGCTCTCTATCCTGGACAATTTTAACATACAGGTAGGAGCTATGCAAATCTTACACAATGCAATGTTGAACTTCAACAAAATGTAAATCCTGTACGATAACCATGTTACTGGGTCTTTCAAAGGTCAACAACCCTGTTTCTGTTCTCACTCAAGAGATGAGCAAATACTTCCTACATTCCAAAGGGGAAGGGGACAAGTACAAGGTAACTAGAAAATGCATTTCCTGCAGAAAATGTGTGCGAATGCTGTAAACTGTGAACATGTATGGCTGAATTTAGCTGAAAATGCAGAAAAAGCTGAATATGTTATTAGCTGAATGGTAGCTGCTTTTAGCTCCACAAATGCAGAAAAAGCTTAACCTGTTAGGCCCCAAGCCTGTTTTTCAGGTTTCAGGCCCTTCTAAAGGGGTTACATTAATAATCTTTTTTCTCAAAGTAATGATAAACCTGTGAGTTGGATGTAGAAAAGTCAGTATCAATATAGATGTTTTTTATTTTAATTCAGATTGAACATGGTAAAAAACTGTGAATTATAGTGTCCGTCCAAAAAATATTTTGTACTTATAGTGAAAACTAACCTTGGATGATGGGTTAGTAGAATAAAAGCTTTAGGAATCCAAAGTACAACATATAATAAGTACCCTGTATCAAGATTGATGCAAAACAAGTGATATTTGACCTTTTTAGACAGATTTAGCAAAAAAAAAACCTCTTCTGGGGCCATTTGGGTGGATTTTCCATATCTCTGGCCCCCCTTGTTAAAATGCTTCAATCTGGTGCACTTTATGCAGAATTACTAGGGACTAGAACTCTAAACACCCATATGAAAAAGATTGGTTTACATTTTAATAATTAAATAAGTATGTGAACATAACCAATAACCTACCATAGCCAATAACAAATACATGTAACATATTTTATTTTTGTTGTTCATTCATATCTTATTTTACTATTATATTTATGCATATTTTTGTATCTCTCCAGTTTAAAACGATATGTCTGGTTTACTGTCCTATAGTATACATTGGAATGATTTCAAACCTGTTTTATCCCAATAATTATAAAGGAGTGCCTTGGAAATATGTGTTTACATAAATTGTGATCAAAATGTTTGAGACCCACTGTTACGTTCCCTCCTAACTAGGGGTACAAAGGGAAGTAACAAAACACCAAAATAACCAGGCGAGAGAAAAAGGAGAGGAAACTGTCTACTGAAGCCACAAAGTGAGGTTTTAATGGACAAAAGAAAAAGGGCTCACCAGCCAACTTGCAGAGCAAACTAAAAATAAACAATACACAAAAAGCTAACCTGGAGAACATCTAACAATTCACAAGAACACAGACCTCACACAGAGACAGAGACATGATGCACACATGCAGCCAGAGGAGAAGGAGAGCGCGACTGCAGCCTTCCTCAGGTCCTTTATGGAGGCCCTGATTGAGGATTGGGAGCACCTGGGGACAATCAGGCTGCACCTGGGGATTCAGAGGGAGAGAGAAAAAGACACACACCCACACAAACGCTACGGCACGTAACACCCACTGAGATAACTTAGACTAAAGTGAACTATCTAACACTCAAGAGTCCTTTACCTCACTGAGCTGTAGTTATCAGCCTCAGTCTGACTGGAGAGGACTCTCCTCCACATCATTGTAGAAAACATCTTCTTCTAATATCCGTTAGAGCAAGCTAGCACCAGATGCTAATAACAACAGCGTGTACCGGTCCCGTCTCTCCTCGCCTCGCTCCCACACGCTCACTCACACTTTGGCTGTGAGCTGCGGGTGCCAGATAAGCCAACATCCCCCATTTTCATCACTTACAGCGTCCATCGTACAGGGCAAATGAAAAGTGTGACCGGGATGAAAAGGGTGTTACATTTACTTAATTATGAATGTTGTTACATCAAGGCTGAAAATTAGGATGAGCACCAACGGTCAAAAAAAAAAAAAAATTCCTCCCAGAGCTGTCAGCGCAGCACCTCCACATATCTGGCGCCCTAGGCGAACATCGATAACGCCAGTGCGACGGGCCGGCCCTGGTCTCAGGTTACGCTGTAGGAAGTGTAGGTACAACCATAGGGTACAACCATAGATATATATATAAACCTATGATATAAACACGTGTGTATATCATGGTTTATATATCTATGTGGGTACAACGCTACATTTCCAAACAGCATTCGCACTAATAAGTAATAATTTTTTAAATAACAATGTTTTATCATTTTGTTTTTTGTGATCTTGATTTCTCCACTTTTGTTTTTATTTCATTCCTCTTTCAGTTTTTCATGAAATCTACCCAATTGGACCAGATGAGAGAGGACTTTCTGCACATCAAAACCACCAAGCGTATCACAGAAGAAAAAGTTGAGCAACATGGTCAAGTAAGAAAAAGTTTGATTGACTCGTATAATATGCAGCTATAACCAATAATTCACAATGTCTCAAAGGACCATGTGAGAGGAATTAACTATAATGAAGCAGTCCTATACTGTTAATAATTTTGTACAACTTTGTTTGGTTGGTCTACTACTCTATTTGACCAGCAATATTATATATATTACCATTTATATTGTTACAGTACTTGAAAGACTTGAAGCAGAAGTACCTGGAGAAAGAAGGAGCGTTTCAAGAACCTGTCATCATTGGATGAAATGGAGACCAAACTAGAGGAGTTGCAGAATCAAATGGCTTGGGTTTTGGTGAGATAATTTCTCCCAGTTTTGAATTCCCAACCCCCTTTATTCAGTATCCAGGACTCTGGGATATAAGGCAATTCTTTTGTAAAGGGTAATTCATCTAGCTAATATTTTGGAGTGAACTTCATTTTGCAGGTGCAAGATATGGAGAATGAGTTGAAGCCATTTAAAGGAGAAGCTGCAATCAGACAAACATTCTACGGAGAAATACGATGCGAAGGTGGAAGAATGGAAGGTAGGATATTTCTGTATTATTCACCGCAGAATTAGTTGTGTGATCTTGAGTGATTTCAATTAAAAAGCTTCTGTTTAAACATGAACACCGCAACTTTGTACTTGTCCATGCGAAGCAATCTTCTGTCCTCTCACTTTTTTACCGCCCTATTTCTCTGATCTGTTTTTATGTCATGATGCAGAATAAGGTCGAAGAGACTGAGGGGAAATACAGACAGATCGAGGAAAGGTTGGAGGGAATCACACAACAAGTCCAGGAGCTCCAGCCCGAATCTGCTCAGCTCAAGTCTGAGGCTCGGGAAAAAAATGCCGTGCTCAACTCCAGTGAGGTAAGAGTACAGACAAAACACTGTACTGACAATTGGTACATTCACTTTCATACCAGTACTGGAAGTGATTTAAAGTTGTTAAAC